AATAAATGCAGGGAAAGTTTATTGTAACTTCTGTTTTTAATGAGCAAGAGTTAACCAGTGCCAGAGCTTCCTCGTTAGGTACTTTTGTAAGCTCAGTACTTGCAAGTAGTAAATTATTAGGTGGTACTGAATAAATTCAAGACAGTACTTTTAATGGTTTAGAGGTGTCTAATCTCTTCCCAGCTGGTTTGTTATGACTTTCAAAGGTCTTGGAAATTTTAGGGAAAACCTTGATCATTAAAATTTAAGGCAAAAAGTAATTTATTTTGTGATATTAATTTTTCAAATATACGTGTTGTGTTAACATGCACAGATGTCTGTGGGTGGTGAGATTATAGATTTTCTTTTCTGTGCTCTTAATGATATTTTCCAAATTTTATACAGTAAATGTGTATGATTTTTATAATTGGAAAAAACTTTCTAGCAACACTAGATGGGGCAGAGCAAGGTAGTCATCCATGCAGAGGGGCAGTCTGGCTTGGAATATTGAGGCCTAAGCAGAGTGAGGAGTGGGTTCATGGGTTGGAGGGTAGCCTGGCATGAAGAGTCAGAGCTCAAGTGGATGAGGATGGTAGTCATGTGTGGGCACCTGGTGGTGGGTTTCAGAAGCCAAGCAGAGCAAGAAGGGCATCCATGTGGGGGAAAGGCCTACACAGGATGTGGAAGGCATCCATAGGGGGTGGTGCTTGATGCAGAGTGTCAAAGCCTAAGCAGGGTGAAGAGATGGTCCCACACCAGCAGTCAGAACCCTGGTGAGGTAAGGAGGACATCCACGTGTGCTGAGTAGCCCAGAATAGGGAATTCAGGGTTTAAGTAGAGTGAGGAGGGCATCCACATACGGTAGGGGTTTATGGCTGCAATGAGAGATTATATGATTATATGGAGGGAGTGATTAAATTAGTCAATGTATTCAGGGTAATGGGAGCCAGGTTTCTCACTGTCAGTAAAGGGAGACACAAATTATGGAAAGGGAGAAACTAAAATGAACCCGGTTAAGATATTGCGTTAAAACTGGAAGCTTCAATGTGAACTTGTGGTTTCCAATATATAGATAGGTAGATATAGAAATATAGATGTGAAAAGGTAGATACATACACAGATATATACTCTAACTCTACATTGTGTCAGAAGTAAGTACTGGAAAAATGATGGAAAATGGTCAGGACACAGAATCCAGCTTAGAGAGGTTCCCACTGACCATATCTGGGGCAATTTAAGCATTAAAATAGATAAGGAAAATAATTGATATAATGCATTGAATAAAATGAAAATTCATGAGTCAGTACTGATATAAATAAATAAATTGAAACTTTAAGGCTGGGCATGGTGGCTCATGCCTGTCATTGCAGCACTTTTGGAGGCTGAGGTGGGCTGATTGCTTGAGCCCAAGAGTTCAAGACCAGCCTGGCCAACATGGTGAGACCCCATCTCTACAAAAAAAAAAAAAAAATTAGCTGGATGTGATGGCACATGCCTGTAGTCCCAGCTACTGGGGACTGGGCAACAAAGGGAGATCCTGTCTCTACAAAAAATAAAAATATTAATAAATTAACTGAGTGTGGTGGCACATGCCTGTGGTCCAGCTACTCAGGAGGCTGAGGTGAGAGGATCACTTGAACCCAGGAGGTCAAGGCTGCAGTGAGCCATGATGGTGCCACTGCACTGCAGTCTGGGTGACAGAGCAAGACCCTGTCTCTTAAAAAAAATTTTTTTTGACTTGGCATGGTGGCTCACGCCTTTAATCTCAGCACTTTGGGAGGCTGAGATGGGCAGATCACGAGGTCAGGAGTTTGAGATCAGCCTGGCCAGTATGGTGAAACCCCATCTCTACTAAAAATACAAAAATTAGCCAGGCATGGTGGTGGGCACCTGTAGTTCCAGCTACTTGGGAGGCTAAAGCAGAAGAATCGCTTGAACCCGGGAGGCGGAGGTTGCGTTGAGCCAAGATCGTGCCACTGCACTCCAGCCTGGGCAATGGAGTGAGACTCTGTCTCAAAAAAAAAAAAAAAAAAAAAAAAAATCCTTAAATTAGAATTATATTTTTAAAAAAATTGTAAAGGGACCTTGTTATGTTGTGCAACCTGAAGTGCAGTGCTATTTACAGGTGTGATTGTAACTCACAGCCTTAAACTCAAGCAATGTACCTGCCTCAGCCTCCCAAGTAGCTGAGACTACAGGTCACCACACACAGCTAAAATTATTCTTTTTCTTTTTTTAGAGATGAGGTCTCTCTATGTTGCCTAGGCTCATAGACTCAAGCAATCCTCCTGCCTCAGCCTCCAGAGTAGCTAGAACTATAGGTGTGTGCCACTGAGCCTGGCTAAAAATTAGGTAAAAAAATTTTAAATGCAAACGTCAGCCAAACTTCAAATATAAATATTTCAACTAACAAGGAAGTTTTAAAGATCTCTCCTTATTTATTTGTTTGTTTGTTTGTTTGTGAGATGGAGTTTCACTCTTGTTGCCCAGGCTGGAGTGCAATGACGCAGTCTCAGCTCACCACAACCTCGGCCTCCGGGGTTCAAGCAATTCTCCTGCCTCAGCCTCCTGAGTAGCTGGGATTACAGGAATGCGCCACTATGCCTGGCTAATGTTGTATTTTTAGTAGAGATGGGGTTTCTCCGTGTTGGTCAGACTGGTCTTAGATTCCCTCAGGTGATCCACCTGCCTCAGCCTGCCAAAGTGCTGGGATTATAGACGTGAGCCACTGTGCCTGGCCTGATCTCTCCTTATTTTTAAAAGCATGTTTATTTATAGAAGCATGTAACTACATACTATGAAATTTAAATCTGTATTCAAATTGATTGACCCTCATTAATGTCCCTTAGGGTAGGGTAGGAGGAGTGAGTATAGGGAAGATTTTACCATAATTACTTTATTTAATGTTTTAAAATTTGTCTTCAAATTCAAGTGATCCAAATTGTGTCTCTTAATTTTATGATTTGTGTGCAGATGAACCACTGGACTATCAGAAAACTAAGGCTGCAATAATAACTATTCATGTCTATAAAGCAGTTTTACAACCATTATCTCATTTTGATCCTAATAGTATCATTCATTCATTCGGCAAAAACAAAAAAGTCATTGCCTATCCTAGTATCTGGAAATACGCATTATTATGATTGTTTCATAGAGGAGATGGAATGAGACACTGGCTGGCCACTCATAAGTACCGAAGCCTGGATTCCAGCCGAAGTATTGTGACTTGAGTTCTGACTTAAGTCTGCTGTCTCAATTAAGGGTCCTAACTTGCCTGTGATAATGTAATACCTGAGAACCTGTTTCTTCAACAGCAAAATGAAATTGTTGTACTCTTTAAACTTCAAGCTCCTCTCCAGCTTCAAAATCCTAAAATTCAGCTGGAGTGGTGACTCACGCTTGTAATCCTACCACTTTGGAAGGCCGAGGCTGGAGGATGGCTTGAGCCTAGGAGTTCAAGATCAGCCTGGGCAATATACTGAGACTCCTTCTGTACAAAAAATAAGAAAATTAGCTGGACATGATGGCATGCACCTGTAGACCCAGCTACTCAGGAAGTCTGAGGTGGGAGGATCACTTGAGCCTGGGAAGTGGAGGTTGCAGTGAGCTGTGTTAGCACCATTGCACTGCAGCCTGGGTGACAGAGTGAGACCCTGTCTCAAAAACCAAACAAACAAAAATTCTAAAATTCATCTCGTCGATAACAGTAACAACAACAACAGAAACAAAATAGGAGTGATGTTAACTAGAAAAAAATGTAACTTGATGGAAAAAAATTAAAAACTACAAAACTTTCCTGAAATGTTTTTAATGACTTGAATATACAGACTCGCATAAGGAGCTAATTTTCCCATTCTCCTTTTTTTAATCTTCAATTTCAGGTTCATTAATAAATAGAATTAGGTGTGATGCTTCAGTGCTTGTGAAAATAAGTTTGTTCGTGAAGGCTAAGTCAGTAACAAATCTGCAGCCTCTCTCCTGTTATATACATATTTTGGTGGTGGTTGTTCCAAGGAATCCTTTATCCTTTTAATTAGGGTAAAGACAGATGGATTTGGAAGACACTTTTCCTTGTTAAATGAAGAGACCCCTGCAGCTTTCTGTAGCTTGAGGCAGTCTTATGGGAAACTGGCATTTACATGTTTTTCCCTCAGGGATGTGGCTGCATTATTGTTACTGTTAAGTTATACTTGATTGGTCTGAATTGTGCAGCATTAGAAGTGAAATTTTTGTCTTGAAAGCTCTCTATAACAGCTCATGAGCACTTTTCAAAAGAGGGGAAATTTATAGAGAAGAAGACTCACAGCGAGTGTTTAGACAGTGAGACTGACTGTTTTCAAACAAATCTAATTCATTATATGCCTGGTAATGAAGACATATTAATAACAGAGAAAGCAGCCCCATTATCTATGTGCTTCTGTTAACCAGTTTATTTTGTTTATATCAGTGGGCAGGACACCATCTGTTACAAGAAATTTTCTTTTCATCAAGCCTGCCCCGATTAAGAGTCCTTAGTTAAGTAACATCAGCTGCCCTCTTGTTTAATTTCCATAACTCAATTCAGGGGTATGGAGAGAAAAAGGCAGCTGTAAGAGGATATTGTAAATTACACCATGCCCTCTGAGGATTTAATTTGGTCATCTCCTTGGCAAGAAAAATTAGTGGGAGGAGCTTATGTATGTTAGAGAAAAAGAGTGAAGAGAAGGGGGCAGAACTAACGATAGATGAAATAGCTTTAAGGAAATTGTTTAGTAGGATTAAAAAAAAATTTTTTTTTGTAGCTTTTTGGTCACTTTTTGTTTGCTCACATTGTCTTTTTCTAAGGCATATTTTAATTGTTTAGATACAGGTAGTGATGAGTTCTGTTCCATAATAACCTACTTTCAGGACTAGGAAATATAGCTTACATACATAGTGGTATGTATATGTTCATGTGTTAAAAATACAATGACTATGTAAATGTTACTGTAAATGATGACACTATAACACTGAAAGAATTTTATGTTTTTATTCTGTCAAAGGTCCATGACTCCAGCTCAGGCTGACTTGGAGTTTCTTGAGAATGCTAAAAAGTTGTCTATGTATGGAGTTGATCTTCATAAAGCAAAGGTAATGATATCTTTGCCCTTTATTTTTTTTTTTTTTTTTTTTTTTTTTTTTTGAGACGGAGTCTTGCTCTGTAGCCCTTTATTAATATGCATGTGGAAGACATTATATGATACATGTCTGTTATGTATGTATCACATCTGTATCACACTTCTTACCAACATCTGGGGTATTTTAAAACATTCAAAAGAGATAGTAGACTGGGCACAGCAGCTCATGCCTCTAGTCCCAGCTACTCGGGAGGCTGAGGTGGGAAGATCACTTGAGTCGAGGGGTACAGTGATCCATGATTGTGCCACTGCACTGCAGCCCTGGCAACAGAGCAAGACCCCGTCTCAAAAAAAAAAAAATACTTCTTGTTAGCGTTTTAAGTGTATCAGTTAAATCAGTCAACTGTATCAATTGAATTCGCCTCTTAGGAATTACACCCTCAGAATAAAGTTTCATATCCAAACTACTGTTAAGATCAAAAGATAGCCCCTAGAGAAAAAGAAATTGATTTTCCTAACATGCAGTAACATTTGAAAATAGAGTAGTGGGCAGCAAGGTCTTTTTCACAGCCAGCATCACCTACATCGAATCACCGAGGATGTTCATTAAATATGTAGATCCCTGAGCTTCTCTCAAATGTATGGCATTAATTTGGAGGAGAGGTTCTAGAATCTCCAGATTTAAAGAGCATCCAAATGATTCTAATTCATGCTTGAATCTGAGAACCATTGGCCTGGTGTAGTGGTTCTCAAAGTATGGTGTCTGAGTCAGCAACATTTAACATCACCTAGGAACTTGTTAGAAATGCACATTTCAGGCCCTATCCCAGGCCTGCTGAGTTAGAATCTCTGGGGGTGGAGCTCAGCAATCCATTTTAACAAGCTCTCCAAGTTATTCTGATACACACTGAGTGAACCACAGTGGCTCATTCAAAAACCACTTGGGTAGGGCCCTGGAAACTTGAGCTTTAATCCCAGTTCTACCTAATACAACCTAACAGAATGAATACTTAAGGAAAGTCTCCTTACTTCTCTTATCTTCAGCTACTAAAGTTGCTGGGGAGGTTCAGTGCCAGATGTGGTGGCTCACACCTGTAATCCTAACAATTTGGGAGGCTGAGGCGGTTGATCGCTCAAGCTCAGGAGTTCAAGACCAGATTGGGGAACATGGTAAAACCCCATCTCCACAGAAAATACAAAAAATTAGGCATGGTGGCACGTGTGTTTGGTGGTCCCAGCTACTCAGGAGGCTGAGGTGGGAGGATTGTTTGAGCCCAGGAGGTAGAGGCTGCAGTGAGCCTAGATTGCACCACTGCACTGCAGCCTGGGTGACAGTTGAGACTCTTATCTTAAGAAAAAAAAGTTGTTCTGGATTGTTTTGGGCTGGGTACTACAACTTCTATGAATCTCTAACGTATAGGAAGATCCAGTACATCAGATTAGGTATGTTTCTAAAACTGAAATGGTTAGATTTTGCTTCACAATTCCTGCTGGAAACTGGTGTCAATTCAGGTATTGATGGAGTCAGGCAGCATGTTCCTTTCCCAAATATTATAAAGCAAATTGTTTCTCCAAAATGAAATGTAGTTATACCCACAAGCTTTAAAAATTTAAGAGGGCATCTTCTCGGAAATTCTCAGTTACATAGTCACTGAACTGGAACTGTATGTAATTCCTACTTCTCTGTTATAACACGTGTAGGCACTAATATATTTCTCTATACTCATTTTTGAGGAAAGAGTAGTCAAGAAGCATTTAACTTTGTGTTTTGATTACTTAGCTAAACTGTTAGCTGTAGGGACTAACTTAGGTGAAATTTATTTTCTTTGAATTACAGACATAGATGATTAATATTACATATTTAATTTTTTAAAGTTGTCTTTAATAAAGAGGCATGTAAATGTGATTTCATTGTGCCTTAATGTAACTTCTTGACTTAGGGATCATATTTTTAATTTAATATACTTAACATCAATTTTAATAACCTAAGATTGTCTTGTGCTGAGTTTATACAGGAATAGAGTCAACTCCTACACTTAACATGATTTCTGGAGCTGTTAACACTTTATCATAAAAAACAAGAATTATATTAATAATTGTGAATGTGTATTTGGTAGTATACATAGCTCTAAGCCCTGCTCTCCAGGAAGTCATGACTGCTGATTTAAACATAATTGGTCCATAAATTATAATTGTTAGCCTGACCTTTATTATTCATTGTATGTTTTGCAACTGTTTTTGATTGTTATCTTCAGATTATCTAGTAATAGTCAACAGTGTATTGAGTACTTTGCTCCAGACTGAAATGCTAACATTTTTCTTTTTCAGGACTTGGAAGGAGTAGATATCATCCTAGGTGTCTGCTCTAGTGGCCTTCTGGTTTACAAAGATAAGCTGAGAATTAACCGCTTCCCTTGGCCCAAAGTGCTGAAGATTTCTTATAAACGTAGCAGCTTTTTCATCAAGATTCGGCCTGGAGAGGTACAGAATTTGTATTTCCTTCCCCCCAAACCAGACACAGACTGTATTTGAAATATTTACATTTCCATTTTCCTTATTAAGTCATCTGAGAAGTCTCTCTGTAGTTAACTTTTCAAGGGCTGATAATTCTGTTTTCTAAGTTGATTAGTCCTGTGATGCTGCTTCTTTTCCTTACGACTGGTCTTCTGGACATTTCACTTTTTGTATGTAAATATACCATTGCAAAAAGTTAAAGTTGGACTGATAGATTTGTTCCTTATTCCAAGCAAAAACTTAATGGAAAAATATTTTTAAATTGAGTAGCATGAGATTTTAAAATTATTTATGGGGATAAATTACTCATGTTTGGCACCACCAATCCCTTACCTTATATAATTAAAATTTATTTATATGCATAGCTTCTTGTGGTTACTGAGAGTGGGTTCTAGGGCCAAGTTCTAGATTTTTAATAGAGTTGGATGTTCAACTTTGTACCAGTTAATTCATTTATTAGTTGATTTCAGGATATACTAATGCTGGCCAAATTTAACTTTTGTATTGAAGAGCCATTATGGAATAGCATAAAATTGTTTAAGTAGGAATTAAAGTTTTTAAAACAGTTCTGGCTTCTTTTCTGCTACATACTAACCAAAAGACCTGTACAAATCTAAGGCTCGGCTTCCGTATCATTTGAGCAGATAATACCTTCTCCATCATAGTTACTTGAAGATCAAATGAGATGACAGCTGTATAAGTTCTATATAGGAAATGATACTAACCTAAGGTGGCTTTTTTGTGTGTTTATCACCATCTGCTGGCGAAAAATGGCTCATTATTTCTGCCTGCAAATTCTGGATGTGAGGCCTTAAAACTCTTGGATAGGAATTACCATAGAAGCATTTATTTTGTACCATAATTATTTACCTTTGCCTAACAACAGAGCAATCAGTGTCTTCCCTTAAAATTTCAAATTCAAGAGTTATTCAATCAACAAATATTTATTGAGAGCTTTCCTGTGTCGAACACTATTCTAGGGACTAGGAATATAACAGCAAATTAGAATCCCATCCCTCACACATGTTAATATGATAATGGGAATCCTTGACTTCTAAAAATGTAAAATTCTTATTTAAGAAGGCAATCAGGAACAATAGGATTTTGAGAAACAGTATTGTGGCAGCAGTAGATGATTTAGCAGTGGCATGGTATGGTGAAGAGGGTGAAAATCTGGTTCTGTTATTTCATAGCTGTGAGACTGAGCAAATAACTTACTGACCTCAGTTTCTTCATGTGTAAAAATATAGATGATACTATCTAATCATAGTGTTACTGGCAATAGTAGGCACTCAAAATAAATGTCAGTTTCCTTTCTATCTTATAAAATATGCTTAAAGTAGAAACAAAGAGGCAAGAGGTCAACAGAACAGTGTTTCTAGTAGCCCTGGCAGAATATGGTTTGCTTCATTGTAAGAGGAATCTAGATAAATTAATGATCAATCAGAGGAAAAAAGAAATATTTAATGATTCAAGAATCTGAGATTCATTCAAGAGATCTATTGTACAACATGGTGACTAACATTGATAACAATGTATTGTATTCTTGAAAAATTGCTAAGAGACAAGATTTTAAGTTTTCTCACCTCAAAAAAAAATTATGTCAGGTAATACATATGTTAATCAGCTCAATTTAGCCATTTCACAATGTATACATATTTCTTGGGGTTTTTTGTTTGTTTGTTTGTTTGTTTGAGATGAAGTCTCACTGTGTCACCCAGGCTGGAGTACAGTGGCTCCATCTCAGCTCACTGCAACCTCCACCTCCTGGGTTCAAGTGATTCTCCTACCTCAGCTTCCTGAGTAGCTGGGATTACAGGTGCGTGCCACCATGCCCGGCTAATTTTTTTTGTATTTTTAGTAGAGATGAGGTTTCACCATGTTGGTCAGGCTGGTCTTGAACTCCTGGCCTTGTGATCTGCCCACCTCAGCCTCCCAAAGTGCTGGGATTACAGGCGTGAGCCACCACGCCTGGCATGTATACATATTTCAAAACAACATGTTGTAGATGATAAGTATGTACAATTTTTATTTGTCAATTTTAAAACTGGATTTAAAAATCTGGCTTGAAATAAAATCTTTAGCTCCTATTACTAATTTCTATTGCATAGTAATATTGATTGATTGGAGGACTTGGTCAATATCCCATTCCCTGTTCATTGAATAGTGTCCCAAATGCAGATAGTGACTAAGGAAAGGTAGTGTCTGGACAATCAAAAGGTAACTTAATTGTGTCTCAGAAAAATGTATAGTGAATGTGTGTGTGTTTTCTGGAAAAAAAAAAAAAACGTAAATTATATGAGATGCATTCCCTGGCTTTCTTACTTTGGAAAAAGCCACCCTCAGTGAGTGAATTTCTTTCAATAAGTAGGAAAAAATTTCAAATGACATTTTATGTCCTTAAATTGGTAACAGTGGCCTCTTCTGTGGCACCATATTTCTCTGGTACTGTATCACTGTAATCTGGTACTTTATCACATGTAATACTTCATGTCCCATGTTTATTTGTGTTTTTGTAGCAAGAACAATATGAAAGTACCATTGGATTCAAACTTCCCAGTTACCGAGCAGCTAAGAAATTATGGAAAGTCTGTGTAGAACATCACACGTTTTTCAGGTATTATTCTCACTTAAGTATTTTTCAAGGATAAATTATTTATAACGTTTCTATTTTAAGCCTGCTATTAAAATTCCTTTCATTGTATGACTGGCACTGTTTTATTTAGCTCAGGTGAGATCATCTTAAGCAAGACAAAATGAATCCATTTCTCTCCCTTTGAGTTGAAAAGTATGCCTCAACATTTCCAAAGCACCTGTCTGTGTGTGGTAGAAGGAAGAGAGGAGTAAGGAATGGGAACCTGTATTTACTAGGGACTCTGGGATTGCACTAATTGTAACTAAAGTCAGTCCAATTAAGAGGAGTTACCTCCACGTGGAATTTTTTTTTTTTTTTTGAGACAGAATTTCACTGTTGTTGCCCAGGCTGGAGTGCAGTGGTGCGATCTCGGCTCACTGCAACCTCCACCTCCCAAGTTCAAGCAATTCTCCTGCCTCAGCCTCCCAAGTAGCTAGGATTACAGATGCCTACCACCATGCTCAGCTAATTTTTTTTATTTTTAATAGAGATGGAGTTTCACTATGTTGGTCAGGCTGGTCTCAAACTCCTGACCTCAGGTGATCCACTCACCTTGGCCTCCCAATGTGCTGGGATTATAGGCGTGAGCCACTGTGCCCGACCGGAATTTTTGTTTTTATTTTTTTGTTTTGTTTTGTTTTGTTTTTGTTTATTTTTTTTCCACATGGAATTTCTGTAAGCAATGCTTAACTAATTTTTGTGGGGCTTTTATACTATAAGGTTAAAGATGTGAAGCTGATTTTTTTTTTTTTTTTTTTTTTTTGAGATGGAGTGTCGCTCTGTTGCCCAGACTGGAGTGCAGTGGCAAATCTCAGCTCACTGCAACCTCCGACTCCTGGGTTCAAGCAATTCTCCTGCTTCAGCCTCCTGAGCAGCTGGGATTACAGGTGCACACCACCATGCCTAGCTAATTTTTGTTTTTGTATTTTTAGTAGAGACGGAGTTTCACTGTGTTAACCAGGATGGTCTCGATCTGCTGACCTCATGATCTACCCACCTCGGCCTCCCAAAGTGCTGGGATTACAGGCGAGAGTCACTACGCTGGCCAACCTTGAAACTGATTGTTAGCTTAGCTCTAATGAAACCTAGAAAGGGAGCACACAGAACCATATTTGAAGCCCAATAGTACCAGATAATCAGAAGACAGAAGAAAGTATTTCCTCTGCTGTTTGTTTGTGATGGAGTCTTGCTTTGTTGCCAGGCTGGAGTGCAGTCTGTGATCCTGGCTCACTGCTCCTGGGTTCCAGTGATTCTCCTGCCTCAGCCTCCCAAGTAGCTGGGATTACAGATGCCCATGACCACGCCTGGCTATTTTTTATATTTTTAGTAGAGATGGAGTTTTGCTACATTGGCCAGGCTGGTCTCAAACTCCTGACCTCAAGTGATCCGCTCACCTCGGCCTCCCAGAGTGCTGGGATTATAGGAGTGAGCCACCGTGCCAAGAAGCCATATTATTAACCCCTTGAATTCATCTACCAAACATTTTCTGTGTGCTTACCCTTCTTGTATGCACCATGCTAGGCACTGGGAATATACCACAAGATAATTCTAGTCTCTCTCCTGATGGAACCCAATCTGGTAGAGAAGACAGATCCTAGACAAGTAATTACTTGTGTTGAAAGGAGAGTTAGCTAGTTATTTATCAGTTTGCCTTCTTTTTTTTTTTTTAATGAGACAAGAATCTCACTCTGTTGCCCAGGCTGGAGTGCAGTGGCGTGATGCCTCAGCCTCTCAAGTAGCTGTGACTACAGGTGCACCCCACCATGCCTGGCTAATTTTTAAATTTTTAGTAGAGACTGGATTTCACCATGTTGACCAGGCTGGTCTCGAACTCCTGACCTTAGGTGATCCACTTGCGTTGGCCTCTCATAGTGCTGGGATTATAGGCATGAGCCACTGCGCCCGGCCCAGTTTGCCTTTTTAAGAACATTTCTTTATTGTGGGAAATTTCATCTGCAGCAACAGTACAATAAAATCCCCTTGTATTTATCACCCGGCTTCAATAAGTATCACCCCAAAGCCAATCTTGTTTCATCTATATCCCTACCCATTCCTTCCCCCTACTTCCAAGATTATTTTGAAGCAAATCCCAGGCCTCATGTCATTTCATTCATAAATAAACTTGATTCTTAGAGAGATAATCCTGATATATTTTCCTTCTATTTATATTTTCATATAATAGCACTATAGCACAGTCAACAAGAAGAAAATTCAAGGAAATTAATATTTCATTTATTTCAAAATGAAACATGAGGGTACATTTTATACCCAATTAAATAATCTTAATTATTGGCATTAACACATTTGTTTGTGCTTTTATCATCCCTCCTTTAAAATCAAACCACAAAAGTAGAATTTTTTAAAAAGAGCAAGGAGGAGTAAAAAATAGTGATTTTTGAATGTTTAATAGCTGTGGTATAGATTTCAGCTGCAGCCAGTATACTTACTTGTAGGATGGCGTATTTAAATCCATTGCATCAAAATAAGAGGATACCTTAAAATGTAATGCTCCCTTACATAAAAGAAAGTGTATGTTTGCTGAATTGAAATTAATTACCTCAAAGGGAAAAGTACTCTCTTTTTGTTAGTATTTGATGTAGGAATTTATGTATTTATTCAACAAACATTTATTGGGTATCATATTTATGCCAGGCGCTATGCCAGAAGCAAAAACACAAAGATGAATAAGCCATGGTGTTTGTTCTTCACTCCTAGAAAATTCAGTCTTATAGGGAAGACCAGCATAGAAATAGATTGTTTAATTCAGTATGGTACAAAGAGTACATAGAGTACCATATAGGAAAAAGATGGGGTTCCTAAGTGAGTGTAAAAATATACCAAATAACCTCTTAAATAGATTACCAGGCATTAATTGAGTTTGGAGTGCATTTGACAAAACTGTCATTCTAGTGGAGTGGAAAAAGAACTCTGGGCTTGGACTTTGTTTCTGCCTAATATCCTAACAGCTGTGTGACCTTAAACAAGTAACTTCTTTTTTGAGGTTCAGTTTCCTTTATCTATAAAATAGTGAAAACATTACAAGGATGTAGTAAAAATACTGCAGTGCTGTAAAAACGTTTTGAAAACTGTAAGGCCCTTTCTATAGAGAGATAAATGATATTATTAATGTAGGTCCCAACTAAATTATACTGGTTGCTTTGAGAAATGACAAAGAAGCCAAAATAATGATTACTTGATTGAAAATTTCTTAGTAACTATATGGAAACCCTAAGAATTGTTGAAACTTTTTTATTCTTGATTTTGTTTTTAATTTTACAGTTTTAAAATAAGATGAATATATAATAATATGACTATTATGATTTTCCCCCCAGATTGACATCTACAGACACCATTCCCAAAAGCAAATTTCTTGCGCTAGGATCCAAATTTCGATACAGTGGCCGGACTCAAGCTCAGACCAGGCAAGCTAGTGCTCTAATTGACAGGCCTGCCCCACACTTTGAGCGTACAGCAAGTAAACGGGCTTCCCGGAGCCTCGATGGAGGTTTGTATTGAATATTAATTATTTCTTGTGATCATAATTCATTTGGAAAGATAAAGGAAGTACAGTTATCTATAAGAGAACCAAATTGAAGAAGCTCAGGGTTGGGCCTGGTGCGGTGGCTCACACCTGTAATCCTAGCACTTTGGGAGGCCAGGGTGGGTGGATTGCCTAAGCTCAGGAGTTTGAGACCAGCCTGGGCAACACAGCGAAACCCTGTCTCTACTATTGAAAAAAATTAGCTGGGCGTGGTGGCGTATGCCTGTAGTCCCAGTTACTCAGGACGCAGAGGCAGGAGAATTGCTTGAACCCAGGAGGTGGAGGTTGCAGTGAGCCAAGATCACGCCGTTGGACTCCAGCCTGGCTGACAGAGTGGGACTCCGTCTCAAAAAAAAAGAAGCTCAGTAGTGAAATGAAAGGGATCTTACTAATTGTCTAATCTTAACAGAACCATCTTAAGGAAAGGAAAATAGAGATTCAGAGAGTAGTAACTAGATCATGGTTCCACTGCTAGGTAGCGGTAGATCAAACACTACCAGAATTAGAATTATAAATCTACATCTATCAGAATCTTTACCACAGAGTAAAAATCTAATGTAGTATGCTGAACTGAAGCCCTCTTAGCGTTTAAAAATAGCTATTTTATTTTTCTGCGGTCCTGGTAACACAGGAGGCTGACGCAGGAGGATAGCTTGAGCCCAGGAGGTGGAGGCTGCAGTGACCTATGATTGCACCTCTATACTCTAGCCTAGGCCACAAAGTGAGACACTGTCTCTAAAAAATAAATAAATAAATAATAGCTATTTTCTATAGTAGAAAAGAGGAAAAGGGTCTGCCTTACTACAACAATCTTTTTTTTTTTTTTAATTTTTTTTTTTTTTGAGATGGAGTCTCACTCTGTGGCCCAGGCTGGAGTGCAGTGATGCAACCTCGGCTCACTGCAACCTCTGCCTACCGAGGTTCAAGTGGTTCTCCTGCCTCAGCCTCCTGAGTAGCTGTGATTACAGGCACATGCCACGATTCCTGGCTAATTTTTGTATTTTTAGTAGAGATGAGGTTTCACCATGTTCACCAGGCTAGTCTCAAACTCCTGACCTCAGGTCATCTACCCACCTCGGCCTCCCAAAGTGCTGAGATTACAGGTGTGAGCCACTGTGCCCAGCCATACAAGAATAATTTAAAAAGAAGTTTGTCACGTGGCAATTATGGATAGGAAACTCCAATATCCTATTGTTGGAGTCGCCAAATGTTGTTTAAATAAAATAGGGAGGAAATACACAAATTTCATGATTGTATATACCGACAGAAGGTCCGTCTGAATTGATATATTGTGGGAGGATCTTCTAAGTTAGCATTTGAGACCATTACTGAAATGAGGTAATAAGCTACATTCAGTTATTTATGTCACTAAGAAAAGAGTGGCTAATAAATAAAAATTCAGGCTGGGTGCAGTGGCTCACACCTGTAATCGCAGCACTTTGGGAGGCCAAGGTGGATGGATCACATGAGGCCAGGAGTTCGAGATCAGCCTGGCCAACATGGTGAAACCCCGTCCTAATAAAATACAAAAATCAGCTGGGCATGGTGGCACACTCCTGTAATCCCAGGATTCTCGTGCCTCAGCCTCCCAAGTTGCTGGGATTACAGGCGTGTGCCACCACACCTGGCTAATTTTTGTATTTTTAGTAGAGATGAAGTTTCACCATGTTGGCCAGGCTAATCTTGAACTCCTGGCCTCAAGTAATCTGCCTGCCTCAGCCTCCCAAAGTGCTGAGATTACAGACATGACACCCCCCACCCTTTTTTTTTTTTTTTTTTTTTGGTGTTTTTCTACTCTCCTGAGGGGCTGTTTAACAGTAACAATACAAGTCATGTTGCGTGCTTTGTCTTAATCTTCATGAAAACACTATGAACTAGGCTTGAAGATTAAATAACTTTTCTTGAGACAACATTTGATAAATGGAAGTGCTAAGAGTGGAATTCAGGTTGATTTAACTCTAAAACTCATGTTCTTTCAGGTACATATTTATTACTTTGTTCAACAATTTTTCCTGTGGGCCAGGTGGTATTCCAGTCACTAGAGATACAGCTGTGAGCACACGAACATTGTCTCTGCCTTCATGGAGCTTACATTCTGTCACTGGAAACAGAGAAGAATAAAACAAAATAATTTCAGATGGTGATGAATGCTGTGAAGAAAATAAAACAGGATAAGGGATATAGACTATCTGGGGAAGGGGGAGATTAAGGAGTATTTCAGATTGGATGGTCCAATCTAATTTAGAAGGCTTCTCTGAGGAGCTTCATTTGAGCTGAGACCTGAATTATGCGAAGGAGCCAGCCATCTCAAAATCTAGGGGAAGAGCCTTGCAGAAGAGGGAGTAGCAAGTACAAAGTCCTGAAGGTAGGAATGAGCTTGCCATGTGTCTAGAGCAGTGCTGTCCCATGGACCTTTCCGTGCTGATGGAAATCTTTCATTTTGTGATATCCAGTTCAGTAGCCAATAGATATATGTTTCTCTCCACTAAGAACTTGAAATGTGGCTATGTAACTGAGGAACAGAATTTTAATTCCAATTTAAATAGCCACATGTGACGTGTAGCTCTCATATCAGACAACATAGGTCTAGATTCCAGAAAATGAAGGGGTGAGGAGTACAAAATAAGTGAGGTCAGAGAAGTAGGTGGGAGCCAGATTGTATAGGGCCTTGTGGGCCACAGTAAAGAGTTTAGATTTTATTTCATTTGCACTGGGAAGCTATTAGAGAGAGCAATGTAATCTGAATCCCATTTTTAAAAGATCGCTGACAGCTGAAAAGTGCATTGAAGTGTCAGTGAAAGAAGCAGGGCGAAGGCTGTTGCAGAGTCTGGGACAGCTTGGACTTGAGTATTGGCAACAAAGACAGGGAAAAGTAGTCAGGGATACATTTGGAGATAGGGCTGACTGAATTGCTGATAAATTAAGTATTGGAGATGATAAGGAAAAGAAACTTAAGTTTTATTGCTTGGCTTAATCATTTAGTAGAATGAGAAAATCTGGGAGAGTAGCAGAGTTGGGGATATGGAAAATAAAAACTTCTATTGTGGATAAGTTAAGTTTGAGGCATAATCATTTAATCTTCATGTCTTTGCCATATTCAGATAACACTATCAGGCATCTCCCTCCTTGTCCAGGAAATCACCTTACGTCCGGTTTACCTTAGGTATGAGGAATTATCTTTTTATCCTCATTTGTCAGGTGAGAAAACTGAGGTTGGAAAGTTTAAGTGACTTGTTCAGCATCTCACAGATAGTAAGTTGCAAGCTATGACAAAAATCCAGGTCTGTCTGATAGCATGTTCCATGGCTTTTCCTGCTAAATGGAGTTTCATGCTTATATAGATACCATGCCTGATGTATTGCCTTTTCCTGATAGCAAAGATAACCAGAGTCAAGTGTTAATGAGCTTTGGTACCTTGAACAAGTTAGAAAGCTTTACAGAAATCACATCTTGACTGCCTTTTTACATTTATATTCTGGAAATTTTTTTTAAGATGCATGGTGTTAACTTGTCCTGATAATTACCACAGTTCTTGCTACAGTGTATTTAATAAATAAATATTGGCTGGGTGTGGTAGCTCACGCCTGTAATCCCAGCACTTTGGGAGGCTGAGGCGGGTGGATCATTTGAGGTCAGGAGTTCGAGACCAGCCAGGCCGACATGTTGAAACTCTGTCTCTACTAAAAATACAAAAATATTAGGCAATTAGCTGGGCATGGTGGCATGTGCCTGTACTCCCAGCTACTCAGGAGGCTGAGGCAGGAGAATCGCTTGACCTCAGGAGGCAGAAGTTGCAGTGAGCTGAGATCACACCTGCACACCAGCCTGGATGACAGAGTGAGACTCCGTCTCAAGAATAACAATAAAGTAAAATAAAATATCATTCTGTCCCCACTGCATTCCAATGTCACCTTTGTTATAAATCAGGTGACCATAAATTTGGGAGTTCATTTCTGGTCTCTCTAACCTCTTGTATTCATCGTTGTCTATCCTTGTGTCAATACCACACTATCTTAATTATTCTAGCTTTTATAAGTGTTATCTAAGTTCTCTGACAATATTCTCTAAGATTATCTTGGCTATTTTTAGCCCTTAGCATTATCTTATATATTGTGGAATCAGATTTTCAATTTCCACTAAAAAAGTCTTAATAGTTTTATTGAGATTGAGTTGATTATATGAATCAGTTTGGAGAGAATTGATATTATTATAATATTGAATCTTCTGATTCACAAACATGCTATAACCCTCCTTTTGTTTGGGTTTCCTTTAATTTATCTCAGTAATGTTTTGTGATTTTTGGTGTAGGTAACTTGTGCATCTTACATTAGATTTATTCTTAGAGATTTGATGTCGTTTGCTATTTTATATTAATATTATTAGACAGGGTCTCTGTCATCCAGGCTGGAGTGCGATGGAGCAATCATGAGTCACTGCAGTCTCGGTCTCCCAGGCCCGGGTGATCCTCCCACCTCAGCCTCCCAAGTAGCTAGGACTACAGGTGCACGCCACCATGCCTAGCTAATTTTTTTTTTTTTAGAGACAGGGTCTTGCCCTGTTGCCCAGGCTGATCTCAAACTCCCAGGCTCAGGCGATCCTCCCACCTTGGCTTCCCAAAGTGCTAGGATTACAAGAGTGAGCCACCACACCCAGCCATCTTTTGCTATCTTAAATGATATCTTTTGGTTTTTGACTGGTTGCAGTGCCTCATGCCTATAATCCCAGCACTTTGGGAGGCCAAGGTGGGAGGATCACTTAAGCCTGAGAGTTCAAGACCAGCCTGGACACCATAGCAAGATGCTGTGTCTTAAAAAAAAAAATTAGCTGAGCATGGTGGTACACACCTGTGGTCCAACTACATGGAAGGCTGAGGGAGGAGGATCACTTCAGCCTAGGAGGTTAAGGCTGCAGGGAGCCGTTTCTGTGCCACTGCACTGCAGCCGGGGCGACAGAGGGAGACCCTG